TGGTAGTTTTTAAGATCATTTTCAAGTTTATTTCCCATAAGCTTTTCAAAACAACAAAATAATACCAGTAGTCACTAGTAGCTAGGTCACCAATCTGACATATATAACTTTATAGCCTCAAACGCAAAAACATAACAGCAGACGTGTACAGGATACCATGCTGGATACGATGACGTCTACTTCATTAAGGTGAATGAGGTGACATGTCTAACAACAAACAACATCCTGTGTTCAAGGTAGTCTTGGCATAGCTACTCACATAACATAATTATATAATTAATACATTGACGGTATTACAGGAAATATCCTACCAGAAACACATGGGGATTGGCCCTGACAAACTCATTATTACTATTGTCAATAATTACATACAAGTTTTTCAGTAGCAATATACATTGACGTAGTTACATGTAAATGTCAAACATACAATAACTCAATTGAAAAGTAAGTAATCAGTGTTTGAAATTTATCAAAATTGTTTACCAGACACACGAGGGCAGGTAACTTTCAAATTTCACTAGCCATGCCAGAAAGTAAACTGTCCTGCATTGAAGATTATTTTTAAATATTTCACTGTCTCCTTGGTCATCACTACCATAATCTGAGAAGTCGAATTTATAAATAAAATGTTCTATTTCAACTTGTTGTGTTCTCTGTCCCATGATCTTTGTATTACAAATGTAGTCATTAATTTTGTTCCAGCTCAAAATTGGGTAAATTTTTTCACATTCCCTGTAATTTTCACTGAATTCAATCTTAATTTTTGACCAAAAAGACATTGCTTCTAGTTTTTGATCAAAAAAGTTGAAATTTTTGTCAACATAGTCTGTAGAAAAGAGCAGACTACAAATGGAACTATTTTGTTGATTGTGCATGAAGGGTTAAACTTTATTCAATAATAAGATTTAGTGAAATATCACATTTAAAATTTTAATTGAAGCAGACCACCGGGAATGCAAGTTTTAATTTTTACTAACCCGACTTGAAAGTTACCCGCCTCAGGCATACAGACAGGCAGTAATTTACTCATGCAATCAGGTAATAAAGATAACAAAATCAATAAACTAAGCTATTTTTAAAAATATCACTATGATTCATTTAAATTTAGCAAAACATTTTGCCTACCAAATTTTGCTGCAGAATTTTATTTTAATACATAATTTTAGGCAAAACAGATGGAATATCATATTGGCTGCAATGAGGTTATCACTTTATACGAGTGATGTCATATGTTAATATTATTATAATTTTATGGAACTATGTTTATTAATCATATACTAATTAATGCTAATTATGCACGGCGTCTAAGCGTGTCAGTGAAAGCACATTACAGTTGCGAATAGTCTGGTCTGGAAAATGGCTGAAATATTACCTTTCTAATAGTGATATTTTTTCAAAATAAAATTTCAGTCACCATAATTATAAGTTATTGACATTTAAGCATGCAAGTATTGGTAATCAATGTCATCTTGCCTGAAATTCTGATATCGCATCGATGAAATCACATGATTTTCTCTGTGTACACATGTATTGTCGAAGCACACAGACTGATGATGTTTATTATGCATATCACCACATTTAGTGTAAAATATTATTTAGTGATATTACCCACTACACATTGCTATGAATATTCACCATGGTCATGTGAAAAGTCTAGCTGCCCTGTGGGGAACCACTAAAACAGGTGACCACACAACAATATCACTGTTTTCTCAAAAAAACAAAACAACGTCAACACTTAGATCTGACATGCACACCAGCATACCTACCTGTTTTAAGGCACCTTGGTAAGCACCTTTGCTATAACATGTATCCATCCTAGAGAACACACTGACTAGACCACACAACACTACACACCGCAACACAAATGAACTCACATATAGGAAGCCACAAAAATCATAACATAACTGTGCTGTGAATATTAAAGACTCCCTAATGTCCCTGGCATCAACCCAATACACAAAACGCATAGCAATGACACCAAGGACATTGACGCAGCTGATGCTGGGATTCAGTGTTTTCATTTTTTACAGCGTATCACCCAGTCACATAAAAGTGTCCTTCCTCTGGCAAATACAGTGGAGTATTGCTTTCAAGGCAAGTATTCAAATCACCATATAATATTATATACACGGACAACCTTCTGTAATGTGATTGAGCATGACTTTACGATGCCCTCATCAAATAGTAATATAGATAATAGGGATTCTTCTATAGTTAAACAGTTTGGGTAATGCATAAGATCAGAGGTTGGGTGAGCCTTGCTGATAACATGTCTGGACAAACATGCTTCAAACAGATGGGTTCTAGTTTTTATCTCCGAGTCCCCTGGACGTAAACATGAGCAATGTGTTCATTTTGTCACAATAAGGTCATCATTTGTACTAAAATAAATGTTATTACACAGATCAGTGCCTACATTTTAAAACATCATCACCGCCATGAAGCCTCTCTCGTTTCGTTACTGTTAGATTCTAAAAATATATTAGTAGTTTGTGTTATTTCACATGCTACTACCCGGTAATTTAGATTCTAACATTTGTACATGTACATCTATCTTTTGTGCATCATTGTGTTTCTGGAACACAAGTAACAGTACACATATTATTCTAGAATACCGGTAATTGTTGCAATATGAAGCATGCTTTTACATAACCACAATTTCAGATATAATGCCACTACAAGTACATGTATTACTGCAAAAATAATGTTCACATTACGACTGTTCATGTCTTCGAAAATTCAAACTAAATCTTTAACAAAAAATCTGTGACTCACACATACATGTACATTAACTGATTCTATTATGACTAGAAACAAGACTTTTTTTGGACCCCATCCTGCCAAAAAGCAGGAGTTAAAAAATAGGGGAGTCTGAAGTCTTTAACCACTAGATTTTATTGCCAGACTGCTGATTTCAAATCTACTAGTTTGTCAAACTCAGGTTTTCATTACTATTGGCAAGAAAAGTTATGCTAACATAATTTCATAATTTTGACTAAATTATCAACATTCTTCTTTGCTTCTGCATTATTCATGTTGAGGAAAGCTACCATCACTGTGCATGCCAAATGCCATCATGTTTAACTGTGAAGCACCCAGAAAAAAACATGCGGTTAAATGGAACTTTGACCTAAGATTATCAAAGTCGTTGTGTGGTACTAAAAGACTGTGCATGGTGCCTCTGTATCATGTAAGCGTACTTTAGAACACATATGGCGGAAAAGCAAAAGATCCTTCAGCAACGAGCCTTAGATCATGAAATAAATTTATTTTTTCAGGACCAGTGCATAAGTCCACATGTCAGATTAACTGAATGAACAGCAATCACCCCCCCCCCCCCAGATTCCTCATGTACATGTACATACAGTACTACCCTCAAACTATGAAAACATAGTTAGAATATACACACGAAATAATGCAATGTTATAAGGAATTAGTTATACTGTATATGCATACTACTGATGTTATAAACCGACCATACGGATGACTCATGCAAGATTAGATTTACCAGAATGTAAATTTCTATAGTAAGCATGATCACACACAATATTCAAAATAGACGTCAAAAGTCATGCTGTTGTTAGATCTTTATACAAACTATATTTATAAATCATAATAATAATTTATGACACCCTCAGAAATACAAGTCCTATCAATTATTAAACAGCAATAAATGAATGGAAATATGCTAGCCTTTTGTCTGGATATACAACTTGATCTTGTATTCAGAACATGAAGTGACACAGACTTTACTTCATAGTAACTGACAGGTAATCCTTTGAGTATCTCTACTTTGGACAGATGTTTGTGTGATGAGTGTATATCTGCTCAGTACACAGACAGTATTTTACATTCATTGTACAAAATTAGAAATGTGATTGATATAATTGCATTATGATAATTAATTAATTCAATTTTTTTTCGAGTTGAGGGAAATAATTCACTTTCCATCAGAATGTGTAGCTAGGTATTTTCCAATCATTTTGGCGAGTCATTCAGCCCACTCCATACTTAGTCTAGAAACATTGGATTGATTTTGCTCATACAGTCAGTGTTTTTGTTTTTATAATAGGTTGATGAAAAAGTTAATAAACAGTAGTGGTTTTATTTTAAGAAACCATACAAATGCACCTAGTTCTGTGCATTTAATGATTAATTTTGATATACCAACAACCCAAATTGGGACGTCTCTAATGCATGTTTTATTGTATTCAAATTAGTATGAAAGTGACACCTTTTCATCTGAGGAGCCAATACACAAGTATTCATAGAACTAACTTATATTATCATTTAAATTTGTATTGCTTGGTATGCGTCTAGTGTTACTCTGCAACTGTAGACTGCCCATGCCGTGTATACCAAATATGCTCTATTAGTAGCGCATACACTTACAGGTATGTCCTAGCTTATAATAAATAAAATGTAATTGCAAGTATATATTGCAATAGTAAAACACGGCTACACTTGTAAGATCAAGGGTAGAGGGAATTAAGCAACAAGGTCAATTCGACATACACAAAGGTAGGTTATTTTACATGAATAATGACAATAGCCAGGCTATCCTGTCAACACAATAATATAAGGTGAATTCCAGCCATTCACAGTGAATCGTTATGCTGGGCGCATGCTAAGTAACAATTAAGTGTAATGAAATGGAACAACTAATAACAGTAATCACCAAGGAATACACACACACTGTCAATGTCACAGCAACACCTCTGGTAACCCGACACTCACTAATGCCAATGCAGTGCACTGAACTGAAGTTAAATGGGATATTTGGCCTTCTTATACTGTACGTGCAGTGGACATGAATAGTGTCTTGATATGTAAATATTTGTTATGTTGTACCTGCTGTACACACCCATACATAACAATGACCAAATCCAAGTGCCCTCAATACAGTAACAATGTACATATTCTGACTGAATCTACATTTGCATCATTATTTACTTTACTCAGACTTATGCTACTAATGACCTCCACACATGCAGTAGTGCCATGTGGGATGAGAAGTTGGTTCTACATGTATGTATGCTGTTCTATGTATGCAGCTTGCACATAATCAAATCCAATGATACTGTGGGAAGTTTATTATTGTGACATACCTTAAAATGTATGATCTATATATGCAAGGTGTTACTCGATCTGTGATACTCTCACTTATTTTTGGTTTAACGCCCAAATCTCTAAGGGTATGTATTATAGAATGCCTAACAGCCACAAGTATTAAACTCTCGGTCATGTGCTCAAAACTGTTAAATGCAGGTGACAATTGTTTATGTTTTACTTCTTAATTCCTGCAACACCTAAAATTATGCAAATTTAACATCTCTTATATA